GGCGCCCGCCCCTCCCTCCCCTGGTTGGGGGGAGGGGAGCCACTAAGTGGAGGCTGTGACTCAGAGGGCTGACTCAGTTCAGGAGGCTCGTGCAGGACTGCGGATCAGCCGCGGGAAGGAGAGGGAAGGAGACGAGGCGACGTGGGCAGCTCGCTGCTCCGGAGCTGCGCCGGGGTCCCGCCGGCGGAGCACACGGCTGGTAAAACACAGTTCCACCCAGGCAGCTGTGCAGTTTTCCAGTTTTAAGCACAAAGTACCAACGCTCACTTCTAAATACTAAACAGTCCTATCCCAAATAGGCTCAAGGTGATAAAGCTGAAGCAAGAACAGGTTTAGCTTAGACAAGATCTTCTGGCAAAAATGCAGTAGGAGAAAAGACTCAATATTTCTTTTATCTTAAGTTTGATCATATGGCTCTGTTTATTCAATCCCTCTGCAACACGGACAATTTGTTCCGAAATGGTACAGAATATGGAGGTTTCCACATCATTTGCCCAGCAGAAGCACTGCCTGTGCACGGAGCGAGCCGAGGGCTGTGGCTGTGATGGCTACTGCCAATTCTGAGGAAAACCCTTGAGGAAACTCCTTTCACTGTGCCTGGGAAGATTCACCCACACTGGTCTCATGCAGAAGTTGCTATGTGTAGAAAGCTATGATGGAGAGAGCAGGGAAAAAGATGGGGGTGAGGTGGGGGAAGAATATGCTGCTTAGGACCAGTCAACTCGTTACACACACACACTAATAGTAGGTACTGAATATCAATTTCCATGCAAGGGCCACTAATGTGAAAAATTCCCGACTTCCCTCAGATTAGCTGGGGATTGATGAGCAGAGCTGGAGAGGGGCTTAAGCCGGTCAGAACGTAACAGAACAGCGTTTAAAACACACTGCCTATTGAAGGGTACAAAGCATTGACGACTTCTCCCACAGAGGGCAAAAGGGCCGGCTGTTCCCCGAAGCGGGAAGGCACCTCACAAGCAGGGGAGCTTCTCGGCCAACTACCAGGACCAGCTGCGAGCCGAAGGGGAGAGCAGGAAAGCGAAACAACCTAAGACTGTCGCTCACACAGGCCTACAGGCTTAAAACAAAAAACAAAACAAAACAAAGCCACCGCCGCACGCGCACACGCACACACAAAATGAGCTGACTCAGGCCACCAGAGCAGCTGGTCTGGAATCTAAGCGGATAGGCATATTTCTTCTTCCCCCTTAAAACATTTTTTTTTTAATGCTAGCCATCAGTAACCTTAGAGGATTTTCTTAGCTTTGTTTTCCTTCTTGTTTCTAGGAGACAGAACCTCAACCAGCTACTGGAAGGAAAAAAAAAGAAGAAAAAAAAAAAAGAAAGAAAGAAATAAAGAAAAAAGAAAAAAGAAGAAAAAACCAAGAGGAAAGAGAGGCAGGGAAAAACAAGGGGAAACAAATTAGAGGACGGAGCATCAGGTCTACCACAAGAAGCAAAAAAAAGCCTCTCTCCGCTTTCCCCACAAAGCCTGCTTTGCTATGCTCTGCATGATACACCACCCTGACAGACACCAACTTAGGGAACTTCAGGTTTGTTTCTCTTGTCAGGGAGGGTTGCACTGAGAACAGCTTCTTTCAGGAGACTCAGGGACACCACAAAAAAGAAAACCCAGAAAAGCAATGGTATTAAAAGACAGTAATAATAATTTAAGCAAACCAGAAGCCAGAAGAAGATTCTGCTTGAAGAGCCCTTGAGCTTCTAACGCTCCCTGGAGCACCTGGAAGCCACCGGTAGACGACCAAGTTGCATGCACAGGTCACGAACCAAGCGTGCGTGTGCCAGGCTCCGCTTCCTACATCAGTCTCATTTGAGAGATGTCAGTGTACAGTAAATTGAAACAAACAGGAACAAAAATAATAATTAAAAGCAATAAAGCCAAGGAAACAGTAATACCACTATTCTTGCAAATCACACAGATGAGAAATTCACTGAAAAGAACAGAGGGGAGAAAGGCAAAAAAAAAAAAATAAACAAACAATAAAACAAATGAACTTGCAGTTTAATAAGATCAGCACCAGTCCCCTGCTCTGACTCCTTAACAAATATTAGGTCAAACAGGCACAAAAAGATTGACCTGACTGCAACAAATCACATGAACAAACCCTATCACCATCATAAAGCAGACTAACTGTGGCACGAAAGCAGTAAGTCAGATGAAACATTTAAGTTGTTGAACACACACCTGGCATATTCCATAGGTCTCCTAGGCAGACGCTGTGATGCTACCAACAAGTAAGAACAAGAAATCCTCTGCGCAGCCCTAAGGACCTACATAACCTTGTAATTACCCCCAAAGGATGCCCAGGTGTCCTCTTGCTTGATTACATTGATGTTTGGTGCATACAGGCTCATCAGATGAGATTGCTATTAATTAGGCTATTTTATCTTTAGTTGTTCAAGAGCCCAAAGCACCTCATCTTATTGCTCTTGCTTTCTTCTTTCTCTCCTTGCCCTCTTCAAGAGCAAATATACTGCCAGAAGAGATGCAGAGGAAAAGACAGCACACATGGAAATGTATGAGCCTGCCTTCAAAGGGTTCAAGTATAAAGGATGTGGCCAAGTACAGACATAGATATCAAACTGTATTCAATTTAACACTAAAAAAAAAAAAAAAAAAAAACCTTAAAAAACAGTAACAAAAGGAGAGAACAGCCCTGTAAGGCTCAGCTGGACAAGTCCATCCCAGCACACTGCAGAAACCCTGTAAGAAGGCAGACACACTGAGGTCTGCTCAGCAGCGTTGTCCTTCAGGGTGCTCTGAGGTCCCTATGAAAGTTCTTTTCCTTTAGGGTTGACTCAGCTCCAAAGGCTGCATGGCTCCACACCATAGCAAACGAGTGCTAATGAAGCACAGAAACCTTGCTCCCTGGGGCTCCTCACAGAACAGGGCATGAACTGGGCAGAAGGCAACAGAGCAGCCAAGGCAGCCTGTAGTGATCACAACCTTGAGGCTTCTTTGATCAGATGGATCTTACCCAGCTGAGACTGCATCTCTACCCTGTTTGTTTTTTGGCACAGACTTCAATCATAATGATCTATTCGTAGCTGCTATGCAAAGTGCATTTCTACTCACAGATCTCAGATTAAAGTGCTGATGTTACCTATTTTTTTAGAACTAGGGAAAGGCAAAAAAATTCTAGCCAGCTTTACCAACCCATCTCTTATTTCAGAAAAAAATACAGAATCCGTAAGTGTCATTAGCCCGTTAAAAAGGCCAGAATGTATTTAACACCTAGCTTAGACCAAGAGAGGAGAGAGCTAAGAGGGATTTGATTAAAACTTGACAGGCAAAAGGCAACCTCTCCTCCTTGCCAATTAAGCTAACATTACTGAGCTTCATTGTTCTCCCGTGCTGAGGGACTAAGGAAAGGTTAACAGTCTCCCTATCACAGGCCATATTGAAAACACTCTGAATCTTTATGTTGATGCATCAGTCTTGGTTTATCTTAAGCTTTGCAATTAGTGACTTACCCTGCTGGATAAGCAACAAGGCCGGTCCTGGGGTCGCAGGCTAATCCTCTGCCTCCTGACACGGTTATCCCCAACACTTTTTCCAAGGTCACCTAAAAAGAAAACAGCAAGTATCATGAGAGACAAGCGCCATTCAGATGGGCCCACACACAGATGCTGATGACTCCACGAAGACCCAGGTCTCAGAAATCACCTACAAGCAGCCAGTAACCCCAGCGACGCTGACCGTTGTTACCACCCTGCTGAGGTAGAGCAAAGGAGGCAGCGCTCACCTGACTACTTCATCTGTGAGAACTGTCAAGCACTGCAAAGGGAGAGCATCACAGGGAACAACTAGTACTGAGTGAGAAGCTGAGGTATATGTTCCCTGCCCTGCAATTCCCATTCTCCAAGCAAGAGCAGCACATTATTTTCTCCACAGTGCTTCTCTGGAAGTCTTTTTCAGGTTGACCTGTTCTCTACCTTCTCCCTCCTGTAGTAGATGGTCCGGTCTGGTCTCTGTCCCTCACTCCTAGAAACTGAATAGCCAGTTTTTCCTCTGGAGTTCTTGAATTGGGAGCCACATCCAGCAGATGAGTGCAACCCTCCCCAGGGATGCCAAGACAGGAAGCAGTCACCTAACTGGGTTCACAAGCCCACATACCAGTGGCCCATTAAAGAGATGGGAACCCAAAATATCCTTGCTTCCTCCCCCTGAGCAAGGACCTCACATATTCCAGGAAAGAAAATAAGCACAGTTGTGAAATGCTGTTTGGCAGATAAAGAAACTCACAGCCAGGCCTACAAGAAGCTGGGAAAAGCTGACGCGGGGATGGTAAGAGGAGGGGACATTTTGGGGAGCACTGTCAGGCAGATAAAGCAAGAGAATTAGGCAATTTCCCCAGAGCAAGAGGTTCCTGTGGGATTACCCTGCACGAAATCCAGTCCATGACATGGCAGGACTCAACCTCCAAAAACTCTGTTCTCAGCCCTGTTGTTGTTCTGCCTGACACAAATTTATTCTCTTTACTCTTTCCAGAGCTTGATTTTATTTACTGTATATTTTATACATTCATTCCTCTTCAGTACTGGCGTTCCTGCCAAATTCATGGATTTTACTGGATCACAATCTTCTGGGTTTAATTATCATCTAAGTTATACTTAGTTAAGGCCTGACAACATGGACATGGCACAAGTAGTTACTATTGTAGTAATTACTATTATTGTTAATAGCTACCCTGAAGACCAACATCTCATATTTATATCAAAATGGCACATGGTGACCTGGACTGCGCAGTTTATGCCAGGCCTGAAGAAACCAACCGTAGGGTGAAAAAAAGGAGGTCTCCCCGGGCTCAGCACACAGGTTACTAGAGAAGACGACAGAAGCGACACTGCACAGAGCCAGTGCAGCCCGACGGGCAGAACGGGGCTCGGGCGCCACCAGCTCACGGCGGGGGAGCCAGCCGAGCTTCCACTGCCAGGCCCGACTGGCTTAAAATCACCAGCATGGAAAGTAAAATCTTTTACACCCCAGTCTCTGAGCAGCTCAGCCCCCATTCTTCTTTTCTCTTGCAGTAAAGTGACCAGATGTTTTGAGACCGTGAGAGAGAACACAAAATTGTCCCCTTCCCTTGCAAAATGAGTACCTCTCCAGAAACATGGGTTTTACAAAACTTCCCCTGGATTTTCCTTTACTGTAAGAACACGCTATTAAAATGCATCTACAAATCTACCAGCAAAGCAAGGAAATAGCTTTGTTTCAACTCAATATTCCTAAAAACAAACAGCCACAACACGCAGACAGTGGCAGTAACAGGGGAGACTAGGAGGCTATCTACTTTTCCATGTTTGATCCAAAGTTTCAGAACACATTTATACCCATACACATGGATAAAGGAGAACCCAGTGCTTGCACTGCAGAGCTTAAACTGCAGAACACAGTTCCCAAACCAAACTAAGGGAGGTTCGAGTCCTACAGAAACGATGCTCCCCACAGTGCAGGAGAAAGCAGGAGACACACGTGCCACTCAGGTGCTCCCATCTAGATAAGACACCAATTACTCGATCCTGGCAGCAAACACGTTCAGTGACGCCGTGCTCAGCCTGCCCAGCCCAGGCCTGAGCCCGGGCTGCCCGCAACTCTAACTGCCCTGAAAGGCCCTGCCTGGCCTTGGCCATGCACCTGAGAGTGCTTGGTGGCAATTCAGCCAGCTGCTTGCGCAGCAGATGGGAATTCCCCCAGCAAGGACACCCCCCCTGGCCCTCAGCGTGCAGCTGGGGACCAGCAGCCACCTCCTCCCAAAGGGACGGCTCCTTCCCATCCTGGGAATATTGCTCCTGCTTCCCGCACACCAGCATCGCACTGGCAGCGCCCCCCGCCACAAAGCCAAGCAGGCAGAAAACCATTTGGTGACTTTTGTTTTCTGCTTACAAGCCTGGGGAATAGCCAGGGAAGGCACAGGAAGCAAGGAGCCAGGGAAAATAAAAATGGCCTCTTCCACTGGCAACTAGATCAGTCCTGCTGTGCCTCCTAAACTCATCTTCTCCTTGGCCTTATGGAAAGGTCCCCTCATTGAGTAGCTTTTAAGAGGGAGGAAAACTGAACAGGAGCACCAGCTCACTGGTGAGGGCACTGCCAGCCACCTCTCTGCCAAAAGACTGTATTCATGCTGATACCAGAATGCAGAGGGTCTACCTCTTTCCTGTGGTGGTCAGCACACAATGAGTAACCCCATCTTTATGTCCTATTGCTATACTACCAGTATCCTCCAGAGATCATTAGAAAAAGACAGCAAGCACCAGCGTCATCCTGCCAGCATTGCTAGATGCAGTGCTGCCAAAACAGACACCTGTGCCCAGAGACAATAATTAACTTTCTGGAAAAAGGCCCCTTAGTTCCCAAGGGCAGCTCTGCAGCCTCCCTGGCTCCTGCGGCCCGCCCCCGCGCGCCGCGCGGGCCCTCTGCCCTGCCGCCCGAGAACAGCTAATCCTTGCCGAAAGGCCGCCCTGAAGAGCCCCCTGCCAACTCCGTGTGCCATTTCAAGCAGCAAGACGTGTGACCAGCTGCTCCCAGCTCCCAGGGGCAGCTTTTTGCTTGTTCAAGTTCTCTGCTATTTAGGGACGGCTGAAAGATGAACCACAAGCAATTGTTTCCACATGCTAAGAAAAGGAAACACAGAAATCTTCTAGGGATCATCTCAATGCCCTCATCCTGCTCTTCACCTGCCTGCAAACACTCTCCTCTTGCCCCTCATTCACATCCCTTGGACCTGTCTGCATTGGGGAGCCGCACAACAGGGACGGGGCATCACCAGGGTCTTGTACGTATAGGCAGCGCTTCTTTAGAAACGAGCAGGAGGGCCCCCAAATCCCTCCAACTCTACCCGTGTTCTCTTCTCAGCCCCAAAGCTCAACATCCTCTACAAATACAACCAATTTAAGCACAGAAATGCAGTACCAAAGCACCCGAAGGGATACGTGAACTCTGGTGCGCACAACCACCTCTCAGGAGAGCAAAGCGACAGCAGTGCTCGGGGCTGCCAGTGTGAATGTCCAAACACCGGCAGCAAGAGGCACGAGGCTGCACCAAGGCTGCCCTCCGGGCTCCGTGAGACCAGCCAACCTGGAGCAGGCACCACGATCTAGCTCAGGATCTTGTTTCCATCCACAGTCCTAAGTGGAGAGGAACAGTCAGGAAGGACAGTATCAGTATTTCTTATCTTGCATCAGCCTTGATGCCATTTGGTGAACCTCTTTCTGTGTCTGCCCTATCCTTTTTGAGAGGAACAAGAAGAAATACCAGGGCTACATATTGCTTTCAAGATCTGGGTGTCACAATTACATATACAGCAAAACAATATTGTTTTCTAATTTGCTCTCCATTCTTTTTCCTATTAATTCCTTACACTTATCCACCTTTTTGATCATCCACAGACAGGAGGCCAAAGCTCACCCCACTCAACAAAGTCATGGTTAACAGCTCCGGCTGCTTTGTGCTTCAAAATTGATCCCCAGTTGTACTCTCCCTGCTCTCCTGCAGAAAAAGAAATCCTGTTCTTGAATCATCAGGTTGATTTCAACTCCCTCCCTTCCCTTTCCATGTTTTGTTAGCATTTGCTTTGCTTTTTGCTCTTGCTATGTGAGCATTTATTTATGAACAGCAGCATCCTCAGAAGGAGGCCTTGTAGTACTGCAGCTCTGCCCCCACTCCAGAAGGGCTACTCCAGTCAATGCCCATGTGGAAACAAGAGGTATTTTAAAAGCCCTCTCATGGGCCAGAGTATAACATGGTTACCATCTGAATCCATTTAATTAACTGACACCATCAAGTCAGTAAGGAAAGATGAGATATCTATCAGTGTGTGTCTATCATCCACTGTATAACGTGCCTGGCCTCACCCGCCTGCTGCCTGCACGTGGGCACATGAACAAGGTATGTGCAGGGACACACGTTCCTGAGAAAGCAACAGCTACAGAAATCCCACAGGCATAAGGAACCCTGTGGAAAGGCCTCCCGAGCCCACCACAGTAGTCAAACCAACAGCTACCATCTTGTCTGAGGCACAGCTATGTAACCATCCATGCTTCTGCCTCAGAAAAAAGTGCTTTTAGGGCTAGACCTGAGACCCCAATATGCTCCAGTGCTGGCCATACACTGACACACAGCTCCAAAACCCAGCCCAGGGTTCACAAGAGCAATGCCATTTCCATGCCGGTTTCCCCATATGCTGCTCCCAGGATGTGCAGCGCTACTCTGTGTGCTCCAACGCAGTGAAGCCCAAGCCACGTACTCAGAGGCGCAGCGCACGAGCACGCTCTGTAGCTGTACATTGTCAGTGTCAGCATTTAAGAATTAGACAGCTATTTCTTACATAAGTGAAATCTGATACAAAGTGCCAAATTTCACAGCTGGCCCTGCTTGTACATCTCTCCTGCCGCTCGGAGCCCCGCTGCAGAAAAAGCACGTTTAACCCCCGGGGACCAGCGCATACCTTGCGGCCTCTAATCTACTGTCTGAACACGCTGTCTGATCTCCTGTTACTGCTGCAAAAAAACAAAGGCTCCAAGTTTCGCTTCACATATTTAGCTTCGCCGGGCTTCGCTTGGCACG